ACCTTCTTCCTGGTTTCCCACGTGGGTGCAGGAGCCCAAGGACTTGGGCCATCTTCCACTGCTTTCCCAGGCCACAGCAGAGAGCTGGATTGGAAGTGGAGCAGCCAGGACTCGAACCGGCACCCATATGGGATGCTGGCACTGCAGGCAGTGGCTTTCCTCACTACACCCCACAGCGCAAGCCCCTTCCTTTCCTTTTTAGAGAACTGGTGAAATGTGCATAACAAAAAATTTACCAGTGGCATTCAGCACGTGTACATTACTGTGCAATGATCACCACCCGCCATCTGTGTCCAGAACACTCTCCTGTTCCCAGAGTAAAACTCTCGGCCTATTCAGCAAGTTGTTTCCTTGCCTCTCCAGCTTCCAGCTTGGCTCATATCCCTGTCCCCTCTTCAAAGACAGCAGCACAGCATCTCCAAATCCCTCCTGCACTCCCCAGCCTCCCCTTTCCCTTATCAGGACCCCTGTGCTTACTGTGGGTCATCAAGTTCAACCAGAGTAGCATCCCCTTCTCTAGAACCGTAAGTCAATCACAGCTACAAAGTCCCTTTTGCCTTTTAAGGTGACACAGTGACAGGTTCTAGAGGTTAGGATATGGACATATGGATATGGACATATTAGATGAGGTCCTTCTTCTTTCACAGCTAAACAGGAATTCTGTTATCTTTGCAACTTTTCCAGAAATATGAAATTATTTCAAAGTAAAATATTAAAAAGATAAATACGTATGTGACAACTTTAAAAACAGATTGCATTAGAATCACAGATTTCTGGGATGAGTGTTGTGATAGAGGGTAGGCTGCTGCCTAGGACACACATCCTGCATCAGAATGCCTGAGGTCAAGTCTTGCCTCTACCTCCAATCCATCTTCCTGCTCAAGAACACTCCGGAGGCAACAGATGATGATTCACATACTTGTGCCTGTAACATCCACATGGGAAACCCAGATGGAGCTCCTAGTTCACAGCCCCAGCCGGGCCCAGCCCTGGCTGTTGCAGGCAGTTTGGAGAGAAAATTAGCAGATGAAATAAATCAATCAACCAAACTTTCTCTCTCTCTCTCTCTCTCTCTCCAACTCTCTGTCATTCTGCCTTTCAAATAAATAAAAATAAACTTAAAAAATCCCACAGATTCATAGGCTAAGATTGAATGGGAAATTAAAGACATTCTTTTTACTGACCAAATTTTAGACATCCTTATGAATCATAATCTGTGGAAAATTGGGTGGGGTCATCAGAAAAATGATCCCTAGATATTTCTCTGGAAAGTGCTTTGCATTGTGGTTGAGACCAAGACCAAGGACTACTCCAACACCCAGTGGTAGGTGACTGGCCTGAGCCCAGTCATCCATGGGGAGCTCTGGCCCCCTGCTAGTAGTAGAAGATCTACAGTTTCTCAGAGCCTCCCAGCATCTCCTGATACATATTCCAACACCTCCCTAAACAAACTGCATCTGACCTCTTCTGTCACCACCAAGGCAGCATAGATTAAAAGGGTTAGCAAGGGAGGTGGTGACTCTGCTGAAGACCCTCCTACAGAGCACAGACAAAACAAATCCCAAAGGCTCTGGTGCAGGGGTATCCCAGAAGGATGCCTGGAGATCAGGAACCCAGAATTCTGCCTTGCTGATCTTCACTTTATAACCCTCCCTAGTAATATGTTTAACGAAACCCCATGACCTTGTAGAATTGACCCTCTTCCAATTCATCCCATAAACAGCATGAGAAAGAGACAACTCAGGAGCAAAATTACATTTTGCCCATTACTTACATCATTTATTCATTTGTCAATAGTACAGAAAAATGATTTAGTAGTTATATTTCCATTTCCTGTAGACTCAAGAGCTACCATTTGAAGACCACCACTCCTGGAATACTTTGAAAAGGCACTTGGTGGCCTCTGGCAGCACAAGATGAATAAAATGCCAATGAAAGTGACTGATTCAGGAAATTCAATGTGCAACCTTTCTTGGCAAGGGGTGTTCTTTTTATAACTTGTACCTGGTCAGAAGTGAATTGAAAGTTTTCTGTGCCTGGATAAATGGCTCTGCAGTGAAGAATGAGTAAATAGCAAAGGAAAAAACTAGAGGGGGCAGGGAGGGATACAGAGGCCCCTGCAGACTTTGTGAATCATTAAGAGAAAAAGAGATAAAGCAACTCTCTAAAATCATACTCTATGGGGGAAAACAGAATTAAACTATCTCTTTTATGTCATCAGTAGAATCAAAAAATACAATCTGATAAGAAAGAAATAGACTGATATCAAAGAAATTCCAAGCATCCATAAAGAGAAACATAAGTTTACCTTTTTCCCAAGAGATTCATTAGTGTAATGAAACCAGAAGCAGCCTTGGAAATAAATTGTTTTCAATGGACCAAAAATTATTTTTGAATTGTCAAGAATATGGAAATGAGATAAAACTGGATTGAAACAGAAGTCAAAATAGTAAGAGTGATAATAAACTGCCCAAAACAACAGGGATAAACAAAATTTGTTCTAAGATAACCCAGGGGAAGCTCTAAGCTGAAGATTAAACAAACAAAAAAACACATAAGCCTGAGTAGGCCAGGGCATCTCGAAAGCAACTGATTTAAAACCTGGGTCTCACACAGCTACGGAGATAATAATTCTCTCCCAACACCCCACCAAAATGAACCACAGCTTCTAGAAGCAGAGGCCTTTGACCTCAGCCTAACACCAATGAAGTAAAGCACGTTCTAAAAATCAATGTGACAGTGGACATGTCCCAGACAAGTGTGCTGACCTTGGAAAGAGAAGATGAACAGAACAGAGCAACTCAGAGCTCCCTAGTAGACAACTAGAAGGGCAATAGTGAAACAAAATGCATTGGAACAGCCACATGGAGGAAACTCTGTGTCCCAAGCAAAGCTCTTTATATCATTTTGGTGGTGATGGGGGTCCCCAATCTGCCAACCTGCTCCGTCCCCATATACCAACAGTGTAGCTGACCTATAATGCTTCTCCCATCTGCACCCAAGCCACCATGAGTGCCCCCTTGAGAAGCTCGTTGGAAACACAGACCCCTGCTTTACTCATAAATGTGCAATAATTTGGGTGTCTGGTGATACAATTTATGGAGGTAAGGAAGAAGAGGTGAATGTTAATTAGAGGGAGACGGTGGAGACTTGGGAGATGGATGAAGGAAATCCGGAACTTCAAGATAGACCTGTTAGTGTGGGAATGAGAAATACCAAACATCAACTCTGATAACACACAATCACTTTAAACTCTTCTGTCAAGCTCAAGATTTCCGGGACTGCATTGAAAACAAATACAAATATATACTGCTTTTATCAGAAACAAACAAAACCAAATGACACTGAAACCTTGCCATTAAAAAGTTACTCAAGGGTATAGTGGCTGTTCATAGATAATAGCTTAGGAGTACCCATTTTAGTATCAAGATAGAATCCACAGCAAAATGCATTAAGTAGAGAAATGGTTTACTTTGCATAGCTAGAAAGTGTAGCCCATAATGAAGAACTAACAATCATGAACCACTGGAAATGAATCACACAGCATCGTAGCATAAGGCAAAACCATTAGGAATGCAGGAGAACACTGACAAGCAACTATTACAGTAGAAGGCTCTTAGTGCAATGAAATGTCAGAGACAGAGTAAGTAGGCCAGAAATAAATAAATAAGGAAGTAAATAAACAAACACGCACATAAATAAGGACATGGAGGCTTTAAACAACGTAATGAATAGATGCAAGCAATGTTTATGGTGCGCACTTTGGATGTGAATCTCAACCCAACTCCTTCTTCTTGCTCCTTTCCCATTTGCTCCCCTCCCTCTTCCTCTGCCACTTCCCTCCCCCCCCCTTTTTTTTTTGGAAAGTGAGTTCACTGGAGCACATACATATCTATTCAAGTTACTTCCAATCCCTTTAGGATGACAGAGGATGTAAATAAGTAATCACATAAAGGAGGGAAAACGTTCTGAGGCCGTGGAAGAAGTAGCTATCACCCGAGGTGTGAGCTGCACACCCTAACGTGCATGTTCACCCTTGATGGAGGCTGAGCCCCAAGCCCTGGGTCCTGGTTTCAGAACTTGTCCCTGCCCTGCTATTGCTGTTCTCAGGGCACAGGCTGCCTTGGCCACTGCTGGAGCAATGATTCCAACATGAAGCTGGGGCATTCTGCTATTATGCAGACTGGTTTCACTTTTTCTCAATCTAACATATCCCCAAAATAGACCTGGGAAGTGTACTGCCCGAGGTTTGAAGTTCGGTGCAAAGTTTGAGGGAACATTCCACAAGATGGCCCTCCATTCTGACCCCTACTGCAAGCTCGAGCGTTCCCTCAAACCACTCAGTTTTGATAATGAATCAGAAGGACTCACAGAAAGACTCACAGTTAGGGTTTAATGCAGGGAAAGGACAGACTGGCTCAGCCAATGGATGAAGCACCCAGGACACAGCTTCCTGTTGTCCATCCCCTGTGGAGCCAGGACACTGTCACTCTCCTGGCGATCGTGTGTGACGACGCAGAGTACTGTCAACCAGGGAAGCTCACTCGAGCTCTGGTGTTCAGGGATTTCACCGGGTCTCCACCCACAGGCATGACTGACTGTCTATGTGCTCGATCTAAGTCTTCAGTGCCTCTGGGGTCACCGGACACTATGTGATAGACAGCCGCCATTCACATCACTGTTCTTTCTAGCATGGCCAGTGCCCACTGAAACACTGGCTCACACGGCTAGCCCCATCCCCAAATTGTATTGTAGACTCTGCAGCAGGACCCAGTGCTCCTATGTGGACAGAGACCATCCTGTCACGGGTCACACTCCAAGGACACAGAGATAACCTCCCGGAAGCCAAGGACACAGGCAAGACTTCCTTCTGGGTAAAGTTAAATCCTTGAGCACACAAAGGCACTGGACCTTCTGCTCGGGACATGTGTATGAGAGCTGAAAGAGGTCAGGGCCATGTGAGAACAAAGTGAATGTGAGCCACACTGGCTGGCACTCACCAGGCCCTTCTGTGTGTTCGCCATTGCTCATCTCCACACTGAGGTGCCAGTCCCCTGTGAAGCAGGTGCAGTGGTCAGCAGCCATGTGGTCAGGGTGTGGTGCTGAAAAAGGAAAGCAGATTGGAAGTGACTAATGACGTGAGCCAGCTTCACAACTCCCCTCTGGTAACTTCGGGCAGTTGCTACTAGGATGGAAATCCATACAGGCACGTTTTGTTCAGCACTGCACCTTCACTGAGAAGGCTGCCTAGCACAAAGTAAACACTCAGGAAGTCACCACTGGATAAATGAAACCTCTAAACTAGGGCTCATTCCCTAGCGTTGGAAGTGTAGAAAACGTCTCTACCTTGTAGGAAGCTGTAAAGATTAATAAGCTAATGCAGCAAGGCCACGAGCATGGAGTAAGTGCTCAGGAAACACAGCAATTACTGTTAGGACTGCTACCAAGCTCAACAGATAGCAGGATCAGACACTGGCAGAAGCCCATGTCCCAGCCCATGTTCTGCTGCTGTAACAGACCACCACAGACTGGGCAGTTTATCAACAACAGGCACTCATTTGGGTTCTGTAGGCTGGAATTCCCAGTGAAGGGCCATCTCTGGCGGGGTGTTACACAGGGTGGAGGGCCTGTGAGGAAGAGTCAGGCAAAGTCACTCTTTTGCCAAGAATGCACTCTTTCAAGGACTGAGCCACTCCTGTGATACTGGGATCAGCCCCTTCAGGAGGACAGAGCCCTTCTGACCCAGTCACGGCTTAAAGCCCCACCACCATCACAGAGTACTGTTACCACGGCAACCAAACTCTGACCAGAGCAAATCTTTTGTGCCCCTCAGGGCCTGCACCTGAGCTTTTAGCAGAGCTGGAGCACCAGTAGCCCAATAATGCAAGTGCAAAACCCCAGTGCAACACAGACTCCATCCCTCCACAGGCTGTGCTGTGAACAGTTCCTCTTTATTTTCTATCACCTTCATTTCCTCTGACATCTACTGCTCCTCCCATTTGATTCACTCTACTGTTCTCTGAATTTTTTAAGATGCATAAGTTATTTTCAGCTTCCCATTTTTTTAAAAAAAATGTTTTAAATTTATTTGAGAGGTAGAGTTAGAAAGGGAGAGACAGAGAAAAGATCTTCCATCTGCTGGTTCACTCCCCAAATGGCTGCAATGGCCGGAGCTGAGCTGATCTGAAGCCAGGAGCTTCTTCAGGGTCTTCCATGGGGGTGTAGGGGCTCATGCCCCTGGGCCATTTCCATTGCTTTCCCAGGCCATCAGCAGAGAGTTGGATTGAAAGAGGAGCAGCCAGGACAAAAACGCACCCATATGGGATGCCAGCACCACAGGTGGAGGCTAAGCCTACTACGCCACAGCACCAGGTCCCTCAGCTTACTTTTATACAAAATGTAGGTTCTTGAGGCTAGAGAATGTCCTCAACATGCAGCCTTAGCAGTGTTACAGGTCTGCCATCACGTGATATGACTGTCATTACGTTCTGGCTTATAACTGTATATATTTTACCTTCCCTTTTACTCTGTAATTGACTTTTGCTTAGGATTTGAACAAAACATCCACATTCCTCAACAAGAATGCATTGGAAAGTATTGGCTTTCCAGGCCAAAAATGTCAGCCTTATGAAATCTAAAGCCTCAAAATTCAGTTTTAAAAAATGAACTGTGCCAGAGTCACTGTGCACCTGCTCCCCATGTAGGACCTCTGTCCTTAATGAGTTGTACTGAGAATTAATGGTAAAACTAGTCTTCAAACAGTACTTTATACTTTGTGTGTCTGTGTGAGTGCAAGCTGTTGAAATCTTTACTTAGAGTTGGTCTTCTGTATATAAAGATAATTAAAAATGAATCTTAGTGAAAAATGGGATGGGACAGGGAGTAGGAGGTGGTACGCGAGTGGAAGTATGGGGGCGGGTATTGGGGGGAGAACCGCTATAATCCAAAAAGCTGTATCTATGAAATTTATACTTATTAAATAAAAACTTTATTTAAAAAATGAGCTGTGCAACATTTGAAAGTACAGGCTCTGGGTCTGTGTCCTGGAATGCCAGGGGTAAGGCTGGCCATTCAAGGTGGCAGCCTCTTCCATGGCCCTTTCCTCAGCCACACAGAAACCAGGCTCAGAGCCTCTGTCCAGAGCTTCCCTGCACTGGATGTGACCCAAACTCTGGTGCTGAAGGGACCTCTCCAACTCATTATGGTGCATCTGTTAGTATTTGCAGAGAACACAACTGGTCACTAGCTATGACAGTCCACTCTCACTACAACTAAAGAGCATCCTACGGCGCTGCAGCTCAATAGGCTAATCCTCCGCCTTCCAGCGCCGGCACACTGGGTTCTAGTCCCGGTCGGGGCACCAGATTCTGTCCTGGTTGCCCCTCTTCCAGGCCAGCTCTCTGCTGTGGCCAGGGAGTGCAGTGGAGGATGGCCCAAGTGCTTGGGCCCTGCACCCCATGGGAGACCAGGAGAAGCACCTGGCTCCTGCCTTCGGATCAGCACGGTGTGCCGGCTGCAGCGCACCACCCGCGGCGGCCATTGGAGGGTGAACCAACAGCAAAGGAAGACCTTTCTCTCTGTCTCTCTCTCTCACTGTCCACTCTGCCTGTAAAAAAAAAAAAATCTTAAACTTACATCCTACTCTATCTTTTCACTTTTAAAATACTAGAATGCGGGCTGGGTGCTGTGGCTCACTTGGTTAATCCTCCACCTGTGGCACCAGCATCCCATATGGGCACTGGGTTCTAGTCCTGGTTGCTCTTCTTCCAGTCCAGCTCTCTGCTGTGGCCTGGGAGGGCAGTGGAGGATGGCCCAAGTGCTTGGCCACCTTCACCTGCATGGGAGACCAGGAAGAAGCTCCTGGCTCCTCATAGCACTGGCTGTAGTGGCCATTTGGGGAGTGAACCAATGGATGGAAGACCTTTCTATCTCTCTCACTGTCTATAACTCTACCTGTCAAATAAATAAATAACTAAATCTTAAAAAAAATACAAGAACGTCACACATGGGTACTTCAAAAGTTCATGGAAATGGAAGCAGAAGATCTATTCACTGGAACACAGAAATGTTTTGAAAACCATGCAGATGGAGTATTTCGTTTCTAGGCTTAATGTGAAACAAGTGATTCCTTTCTGCATGCCTCAGCCTTGGGCCACACCCACCCCTGAGCACTGACAATTAGATGAATGAGCTTGGGTAAGTCATTTAAGCCCTCAAGATCTCAGTCAGTCTGCCTATAAAATGGGTACGACACCAAACCCTGGAGTTGCTGTGCTGATAAAATCGGAGAATCCTTGGAGATGCTCAGCACAGCTGCTGACCCAGCCTAAGCAAGACATTCAGCTGTCATTGTTCTTGTTACTGTAGAGGCCATGATTAGGCTCAGTGAGGTACGTAGATCCTCTTTAGTGCACTCTCAGCTACCGAGCATTTGTAACAGTCCCGAGACACAAGCAGAATGCAATAGAAAATGGAAAGCCTTAAGTGAGCCTGGAGGGAAAGGAAAGGACAGCTCTCTCATGAGCTCAGTGAGCGTGCATGCATGTGTGCTCTCTCCTTATATATGTGTGTCAATGGTGTATTTAAAAAACGTAAAAATATAACTTTAATTACAACATAATTAATGAATAATTTATATAAAAGGTCTCTAACATGAGTATATATACACTTCTAAGTATGTTAGCAGAGCGCTAATGAGATATAAATGCCATATAAATAAATACAGCACTTATTTGCCTTTTTCTAGCACAGCCTCCCTAAGTTCTAGTGTCCTGGAATTTAAGGTTGCCAAAATTGCTACTTTGGCATCTTATTTACAAGCTTTAGATCCACGTAATTATCTGAGGATGGAACGAGGGGTAACTTATGTTTTCTTTAAACTGATGTTTCATGTAAACTTCTGTGAGGCTGAGAACTCACATGGATGGGGTCTGTTCACCCCACCTGGTGTCCCATCTGAAGCCATGCTCTGTCTCTGATCATCAGGTCCCAGATGTCTGTGGGTAACAGGCCTGTTCCTGCAAGCAGGAACTCCCACATTCAGCTCCCACGCAACTTTTCCTTTTAAGTTTAGAGACAGAGGTGGAGAGAATTCCCACCTCTGATTCACTCCCTAAATTCCCACAATGGCTGGGGCTGGGGCTGGGGCAGGCCATGCCAGGAGCAGGACTCAATCCACATTTCCTATGTGGTTGATAGAAACCTGATTCCTTGAGCCATCAGCACAGCCTCCCAAGGTCTACATTGGTGGGAAGCTGGAATCCGGAGTTGGGCCCAGGAATTGAACTCAGAAACTCTGAAGTGGGATACAGGCATCTTAAGTGTAAAGCTAAATGCCCACTCCCTTCCAGGTATATTTTGATCTCAAATGCACTTGAAAAATATCGCAGTTATCTTCCAACATAACAATCAGATTTCTTATCATTAGTAAGCCTTGCTATTGTGGTTACAGTGGTGAGGATCATTTAATGGAACACAAAATTTAGGAAAATGGGGCTGGGTTTGTCTATTTGTATGACTTTCAGGAAACTAACTTGGTTACACACACACCCATACATACTCCATGCATTATACTGAGAACATTAGGTAACAGTGTACAAAATTGCAGCTATGTAGGATCAGTAAGTTTAGAGACCTAACCTATAGCATGATGAAAGGGGGAGAGGGAGAGGGGGAGGGGAAGAAAACACATAAAAGAGTATTGGGTATACTTACCTACTTTAACATAGTAATTGTGCTTTTAGCACTGCATCCTCAGGAAATATTTTAAATTCAGAGAAAGAGTTATTTTCAGAGATATTTAGTGTACTCTCATTTATAAAAATAAGCACTGAAAAAAATCTGAACATTCAACAACTGCTAAGTAATTTATACTATTCCCATCTGTTAGAATATTATGTAGCCATTAAAGTGGTTTATAAAGAATCAGTAATAACACATACAGTGAAATAAAATGTGAGTAAAAAAAATCATAATTAGGTAAAAGTAACCAGGCAGAGTGAAAGACAGAAAGAAAATGGGCTTAAATGTGTGTTATTGCTCATCTTTGGATGGTGAGGCTATGAATAACGCTTTGGTTCTTCCCTTTCTGTTTACATTCCAA